GTTGGCACCTGCTTCCATTGAGAAAAATGAAACTTCTCAGTTGTTATTGAATGCTTACAGTGCAGCACTTGGCAATGTATACATCATGAAAGATGTGATCTATGCTCCATATGCTGCAGCAAGATAAGATCCCTGATATACAGTGATAACATACTTTGGTTTTATATTTTTTCTAAACTAAACTGTATTAAGTCACTATCCTACTTTGCTTAAAACTGCATTACCATCACATAAAATTGGATTTCCAAAATAGTCATAAAGTGTGAAATTAAGTTGCTTTAGGGTTTAAGTATGCTTTAGTTTGTCTCCCGGGAACAGTAGTTACTAATCCTTTAGTCACATGATGGCATACTGAAACAGAGGTTTTAATCTTTAGGTGAAGCTCAGGTTAGCTTGTTGCTCCCCAATGGACGGTTAGTGAGAGCACTCATAGGTGCTTATGTCAAGCTTGGCAACATTACAGAGTAATTATTAATAACCTACTGATCTAAATCCAGGTAACTTTTAATGAGAATTAAAAAAGGTTATTTCAGGTGTCTATTTTTTCACTTGTGCTGGAAACACAATGTTAGAATAATGCTAAGAAAGCAAAATCACACATTCAAAAAAGAAGAAATAAGTGGAGTAAGGTTGCTTGGCAAATTAATTCATTAGTACAATTGGTTTATCAGTGAAATGTTTATTATTTTACAGTAGTGCCTGTCATTTAGTACATGAAACATTTAATTTCTTCTTAACCTTCTGAGTGCTGGGTAACAGCAAGTGATCTCAGTCTTTTCAGTTAGAAAAGGTAGGTGCACCGATTGATGCTGATCTGTAAAGTTTGTGTTGGGTTGACTTGCTCAGTATATGGTAGGAGTAGGGAGACTGCAGGGATATGTGCTAACTGGTGCAGATCTGGCATGGTGAAATACTCTCCAAAGTGACACCATTCTTGCTCTTTAAACACCTTTTAAAAATATTTGTTTGACATAGAAGAATTCACACAAATTCTCACTGTTCCTTTTTGGAACGGACACTGGACTCTACCTCCCAAGTGACTGTCCTAGTCATCAAGTCAATGCATAGTTTAAATTTGGTCTTTTTTGTTCTTTCCTCTTGGGTTTGTTTCACTTTGTTCAAGTACTACATGTTAGGTTAAACTACATATGAGAAATGATCCAGGTTAAAAGTTAATTTTCCTTCTGTCATGTTATTTTAACAGGGATCAGTTTCTTGATCTGGTTCACAGCTCAGCTATGCAAGCTTTGCAAATACAACTGAAAGTGCCGAGGAGGAAGAAGAGGCAGTGTGTGCTAAATGGGGCACTGCTGATGAAAGAAATTCACACAAAATGCAACATGAGCATTTTTTATCTTAATTAGAATTGGAAACTGTAACTCAGGCAGTTTAAGTAGGTGCTACCATTCTTATTTTATATGAACTGAATGAAAAGGTTGTTCATATTATTAAGTCCCTCTCGGTTAGTAAGTTGGCAACATTTAGTGATAAAGACATTAGCCTATCCCACTAGCACAAGTAAATCTGAGAGAACATGCCTGTGCGTTGCTGTTTTCCTGTTTATTCCTTAATTTTGCCAGTTATATCTTACATTGCTCTAAGAACATCTCTGGCATTTCAATAATTTGCCAGTTGAAAAAGCAAAAAAGCTGTATTTCAGGTCAGTTTTTGTATGTTGTCTATGAGTCACTCAGTTAAAAATCCCCAGTATGCTCAGGCTTTTTTTTTTTTTTTTTTTTGCACTACTTTAAGTAGTTTTTGAAATCACTTAACTAAGCATATATGTGTGTGATCATTTGGTTTCTTCAGTATCGAATCAGTACCCTTCCTGTTGAAATGCAGTTTGGATTTGTCTGTGACTGAATTGTAATTCCGGTTTAGCTAATAACAGTTTAACACTTTTTCTGACACTGACTCATCTGATTTAGGATTAAAAACAACATTTAAAAATGAGAAGCATCACATAATGGGGGCAGGCCTATGATGAGAAACTTTACAGCTGATTTTCTTTTTTCATTCTTAGAGCCAGGGCACAATGTGTCACAGGCAGCTTCTTGGTAATCCCCGCAATCTGAGGTGAAAGAGCTGAAAAGAAACTGGTGTGCTCCACTGGTGGCTGTTTTGTACCCGGGAGTGAGAAATGGAAGCCAAAGGGCAGAAAACTATACTTTTATGGTACTCTCCGGTTTAAGCTGTGCCTGCATATGTACAGTCTGGAAATAAAAGCCAAAGTCTCTTCAGTGAGTTATGGTGAAGGCTTTATTTGCAGGTACTTAGGATGTTGGTTGCTCAAATGTTTTGAGAGAGACAATTCTTCTTATCTTGGCATTGGGAAAACAAAGATCAAGGCATGGTCTGTGTTTCACAGTAAGAGTAGTTTTACTTATGACTGCCTTTAGGAATGTACAGAAAGTCTCTGCTGAAAACTCTGAATTATAATAAAGAAACAAAGACTTATATTATACATGCTCTTCTGAGCCATGTGGTGATGGAAAGATGAGAAAAAATATGGTATGATGCTGGTTTTGCTGATGGATCTGAATGCAAATAGATCCCATGTTGATTAAAATGTGTTCAACTAAAATAATAGAATTCAGAGCTTGTTTTGGTTTTCAGTTTGGTCACTTTGGTTATGTTGTCGGTTTTGGTTTAGCTGACACTGATGCTGCAGTGTTTCTTCCAGGACAGCTGTATTAGCTCAGCTCTCTTGGGATCTATGAAACATATGCCAGCCAAAGGAGTTCTTCTGCCACCTTCTGTGCAGAATTAGCTAAACTGGGAAAAAATCCAAGCCAGCTTGTCAGTGGCGCTGTACCTGTATTGGGATTTTTAATTGTAATTGCCTAAGGAGGGGAAGATGCATGTTTTTTCACACGTTTAGGTGCCATTAGGTGGCAATTCTTGGTATTGTCAGATCAATCTGAATTTTGGCCTAAATGGAGTGGGAGGCAGATTTGCTTGAATTGAAACAAATCAAGTAACAATAATGGTCTTGGACACATGGTATTGGTTTAATTCTGCCTAGGCATGTCAGAATAGAACTGGCCCAAAATGCTGCCTACGAGTATAAAAGGGATGGGGAGGGATGGAAAGGGGAAAAAAAAAATCACATTTTTTTTAAAATGTGAAAGAAAACTGAAAACACAGAAAGTTTTTGTTTGTTTATTTAAAGCAGCTTAACTACATTTTGCCAGAATTTTTAATTTACATCAACAGAAAAATTTCTCTGAGAGCCAACTCTCAATTTCTGCTCAGGCAGCACTGCTAAAAGAGCTGTGCCTATGGAATTCCAGTGGCAGACAGTTTTCCTGGGGTTGTTGAAATTACATGTGGTGTTAGCCTGGTGTGACTATTCTCAATCAATAAAACTCAGGATGGGCAATTGATCCTATATTTCTCTTCTCTCCTTCAGTTGTATATTCTTCCATCTATCTTTTATTATCTATTTTTTCATACGTATTTATAGTTTTCTTAGTCATTATCTTGACACGTTACCAAGCTTTTGGTAAATCAGAAGTCACCATATAGCACCACACTCTTAGTATGCAGCCACAAAACATTTACACTAGCACATGTGAGTAAGGGGCTTGAAGATATGGGAATGACTTTGGGGAGGGTTCAGTTGTTTCTCTGTGATATTGATGACTTCTGATCCCTGTGTTTTAATCTATCATTTTTTTCCAGTGCATGCATTAAAACCTTAAGGAAAAATCAAACTTGTTAAACCAGCTCTGAACTTCCACTGGTGTTTTGTCAAGACTCTTCTATGATTGTCTATCACAGCTGATTGCATACTTGATCTTTGTAATAGAGCTGCACATTCCATATTCATGAGGAATCATTTAAATTTTGTTCTGAGAAAATGAAGTTGCAAATGCTTCTTTTTTTTTACCTGGGTATTTCCAATGAGTTTGTCAGTGATTTTTTTTATTTTATTTTTTTTTTAAATGTATTAACTCTTTCAAGGCTG